GATTTTGGTTTTTTTTGAGTCCTCCGGCAGTGGCCTACGTAATTAGCACTAAACAAAAAAGAAAAAAAACAAAAACAAACAAAGAAAATTCGTTACGTCAGCGGACCGCGGACAGTTCGTTCTGATTGTGGATTAGTTGGCATAGCGTCTGGCACGGTTTGCTGGAAGACGTTGGTTCGAATACAGCCGGATCGATGGAATTTTGTCTTAATGTTCAAGCTTTCTATAATATTATTATATCGCCTCGAGCCGCCGACCGGAGTGGACATGACATTTCACAAAATTACCTATACATTTCATATATTATCCAATTTGTATAAAAATATTAGAATTTAAGTTTATTTTATTGATATACTGTTATTTACATATCGTAAGTATTTCTCATGTGTATGTAGTTGTATATACACTACCTATTATGTCGGTTTTCTTGTCTGTTTATTTATTTATTGTTGAGTTCTGTATTGTTGTCAGTGGCTCACTCGCCCCGGCTTGCAGAAAATCAGCGCCACGAAACGGTTTTTAAAAAAAAAGCCGTTTGTGGCTAATGCTGAGCAAGCACCAATTGCGCCAGTCGCGACAAGCATGACGGTGAATTAAGTACTGCACTATCAATTGTTTTAATTTAATTTTTTTTAATTGTTCTTATTATATCTCTATTTATTTAGATTCTCGCCTCTCCGAGGGCCAGAAGGATTCATTTAGAATTGTTATTATTAATATTATTGTTCCTCTGTTGTTTTGTCTATACGCGTGTCTGTGCTTGTGTAATAAATAGTTTTCTTTCTTTCTTTGTATCAACAATCAAAACACAATACTTTTTACATTCTACTACATTCACTCTTGATGAGGATTTTACCCATTTGAGACCATATAAATACGTGGATAAGTGTAATTTGTACTAACAACCATAAAGTTATCCAAAAGACGGTCGCGGACGTCATGGCCTATACTTTGTCAGGGAGATGAAAAGAACTACGACATCGTACCACAGCTTATATTATATTAGTATAATAATATGTCGTCATTTGTTTTCTATACAAATGCAGGAAATATACAAGGTTCTTATTTATCCGCTGACATGCTTTTAAAAGGTACTGTACCGACAAACTTTTACTCTGCGGAATTCAAATCTCGAAATAGCTTAATAGCGCTCCTTACGACACTAATGGGCTCTTTTGAACTTACAGCCTGGTAAAAATTTTATACAGGGTGGAAATGTGAGACGGGTCGGCAGCAGTCGGTGCAGCTACCTTAACAGTCACGGGGCGATTCTAGACGAACATTCATGAATTTTAAAGACATTCTGATTGGTATTCACTGATTATGAAAAAATGGTACAGTCAGCAAGATAAAAGGCAATTTTTGCCGAATTTATTTTTTATGCCATTCGATCCTTTTTTTGGTATTGATGAAATGTCTGTATAAGATCAACTGAGTATGAGTACCAGAAATTTCAATAACACATCAAATAAATCGAAACATCAATAACAAAACTTTTCCATATATTTCGTAGTGACATTTAACTATCAGCATTACGTACAACGTATTTCAAAATAAGAACGAAAGGAATATTTTATAAATTCATGGATCGTCTAGGACCGTTTTCCTGTAGCTATGGCGGTTAAGGTTGGCTGCCCTTGCTGACACGTCTTAAGTTGCCATCCTGTATACAGAATAAAAAAAATTGACAAAGCAGCCAAATATTTTTTTGTGTTCTAAATTCAAATATATCTTTTCCGTCCATTCGTGCTAAGGAGTGTTATATTGTCACCTTTTCTATGCAGAGATAGATATTGTACGAGATTTTAATTTATTAGATTACAGAACGTTCAGCACATAATGTAGAACAACCACTTTCAAATCATTACACGAAATAAACTCAGGTTTCATAATAAATGATCACCTAGTGTGAATGTGTGCAACTTTTTAACAGCTGTCTGGAAACCGCTTCAATTCCCCGTCTTTGGAGTAAATTTAAGGTCATAGCCATATTAAAGCCAGGAAAGCCAGCGAACAATCCTAAAAACTTCCGGCCTATTTCACTCCTGTGCCATTCGTACAAGTTGTTCGAGAGATTGCTGCTGACTCGCCTCACGACCTTAATTGACCAGAATCTGATTCCGGAGCAGGCGGGTTTCCGATCAGCTGAGTCATGCTGTAATCAGGTACTAAAACTTACGCAACACATCGAGGATGGGTTTGAATCGGGGAAGATAACTGGCCTTGTGTTCGTTGATTTGTCGCCAGCCTACGATACAGTAAGCCTTAGACGGCTGTTGTGGACGGTGGAAACCAAGACTAAGATCATAAATTTGTCATGATACTCCGTGAACTTCTCCATAGCCGTCGTTTTCGGGCTCATCTCCTCCAGGACAAGAGTCGTTGGAGATCGCAAAAAAATGGTCTGCCTCAGGGTAGCGTTCTGGCTCCGTTGTTATTTAACATATATACCAACGACCAAACAACCAGCCCAGATACGTCTCGCTTCCTATACACGGATGATCTCGCTTTAACTTCCCAAGCGGAGAATTTCGTGGAAGTTGAGAATAACCTCAGCGCTGCTCTTAATAACATAAGCCACTACTATAGAAGAAAGTCGCTTAGGCCTAACCCATCTAAAACTGAGTCCTGCGCTTTCCATCTTCGCACCCGTCAGGCGTATCGAAAGCTTAACATAGTGTGGCAAGGTGTTTCTGTAGCTCACAGTGATAACCCGAGGTATCTTCGCGTGTATTTGGACAAGTCGCTTACTGTTAAGAAAGATTGTGAAAGTGTCAATGCGAAGGTACACTCACGCAATAATTTACTGTGGCGTCTTATTACCACCAAGTGGGGAGCTTCGCCGCAGGTCATGCGTACTACTGGGCTGGCACTTTCCTTTTCTGCTGGCGAATACGCACTGTTTGGAGCCGTTCTACCTATGCAAAATTAGTGGATACAGCCATAAATGAGACCTGCCGGAACATAACTGGCTGTCTTAAGCCGACCCCGGTAAGATAGCTGTACCTACTAGCTGGCATAGTTCCACCAGACATCAGCAGAAATGTAGCGGCATCTTGCGAAAGACCAAAAATGGCCATCGACACTCGGCACCCAATGCATGATCACTTCACAGTGCAACAGAGACTGAGAACCCGGAAAAGTTTTATGAAATGTGTTGATCTTCTAACCATTGAGCCGGCTCAGGCGAAGTGCAACCTTTGGCGCAAAACAATACCATCTATGTTAGTCCCGCTTTCTGAGAGTCTTCCTCCTGGACACGAATTGCCATGGCCGATGTGGACGTCTTTGATTAGGCTTCAAATTCAGGTTGGTCGGAGCAAGGACAATTTGTTCAATTGGGAATTTTCGGATGGTTCTAACCTGGATTGCTTGTGCGGTGCGACTCAAACGATGGCGCACCTCATATCGTGTCCTGCGTGCCCTAACACCTGTACGCTTGAGGGTTTAATGGCGGCCACTAGTGACGCGGTCGGCGTGGCTGAGTTCTGGGCCACAATAGTGTAATGTATGTCATTGATGCGATAAGAAGAAGACCTAATGTGAATTATCTGTACGTTAGGAAATCCATTAAAAAGTTTACTAAAAAATCTGACTACAAATTTCAAATATGGAAATTGGAATGAAACTGACTACTACGAAAACGGAATTAATCAAGCAAAGTCAGTCTTGACGTTCCATTTCACATAAGTCTCGACTAAAAGTTTAAAAAAACTCGCTTAGGATTCTATTTTTAACCCAGCGTGCATTAAACCGCAGAACAGACAGTAACGGATAGAAAAATCAACGTTCGAATTTCAATTTTACAGTCACATTCACAATGGCCAGCATTCTAAAATGCATTTTAAAATTAGAATCGGAAATGGAATTTAATGCTGGAACACGTACTGTATAAGTTTCATTACGTTAGGACATTTCAACTCTGTACATACTCGAAATACAACAAACAGACAGGGTTCTAACAATTGTAAATGTAAAATTTGAATTCAAACTAAGATTATTTTTTTCTAAGTATACAGTTTGAATAAAAAATATGATTACTTAAGTTACACTAAACAAAGGATCAAAAGTATGAGGCAAAATATTTTATAAGCAGCTATCGCACTAAACACATTGCTTTAGCAGTTGTATACTGGCAACTATTAGTTTAATCTAAAAGAGAAATTTCAAAATGCATCCGTTCACAAAACATTAGAATGTTCAAAGCTGCCAGTTATAGTTCTAAAAGCAAAATTCACCCATCTGCGTTCGGTTACACGCACATTTTGCAGATCAGGTTTGCATTAGTCTGCATCGGAGAATGCCTAACAGCGCGGTACGTTGCGGTTGACCGGGTCGGATACGTTTACCTGTTGCATCGATTCGATTTTTAAAAAAGTAACAGAGGTTTTTTCTATCAAGTTGCTTTAAAGCTATATTTTACATAGCGGTGCAGCCAGTGGAAAGTATTTTTCCCGCTAGTGCAAAAAAGTATTTATTTAAAGCTTGTAATGAAAAGTACCGGCATGAAGTTTCTTCAAATACGTAATAATGCACTATAAATACAATAATTTCAAGAATAAAAAAAAATACGTAACATTAAATATTTGCATTTATTTTGCGACAGATTTTACCTAAACGTTTTAAAATTTTGTTTATTAAAAAAATTCAAAACGTGTTCGAGTGTGTTTGTGTCAATTATGAATAAACTCTTCATCATCAACATCATCAGTCATCGCAGTCCACTGTTGGACAAAGGCCTTTTCCAACGGGCGCCATTTCGCCCGGTCCTCGGCTTGTCGCATCCATCTGCGGCCAGCAGCCTCGGCTGCTGCAAAGGCTGCTGGCCTTTCACAGATCACTCCAATTGGCCAGAGAACGTCTTCAAGAACTCGTTTCCCCCATCGGCTATCGGTTCTTCGACAAATAAGGCCAGCCCACTGCCACTTCAGCTTATCCTACCAACAAACAAACTCTTACGCGTGCGTAATTACAAAAACCGACGTTTTCGGAAAATCCCAGCAAAACATTGTTGCTTCTTTGTAATACACATAAATTTGATTAATTCAAGTGTAAATTTTGTTGAAATTATGGATTTAAGTCCACCAGACATTTTGCGTAAAACGGAAGTTACAAAAGATAGTCTCTCGCCGCCAAAATATATATACGAACATATTACAATGTTTGAAAATACATATATATATTACGGGAGACAAAAATCGCAATATGTTATCACAATGTATTGAAACATATTGCGTGTTACACCCGGGAAGATTGAACTCAAAATCAAAAATCAAAGTGTATACTCGTTTGCATTAATCTACTTTCCTGCCCTAGTAAAATAATGTAATATAGTATAATGAAATGTAATATAATATTTAAGACGTCGATCTCAATAAAAACTTTATGGCTCGTTTAGCTGTTACCTATTTTTTCAACTTACAGATTTGATGTGATTCAAATAATCTATAAAACGGTACGGTAGTCAGATGGTTATCTACAGACACACAAATTAAGTGTATCCATTTAGGGAAGGTACGACTTAGTCTAATGGCGCATATACAATGCGGAGTGCTCTGAGGAACTTTTCGAACTGGTGCCACCGTCTAGTTTCTACCATCACACCTCCCGCCAAAGGAGTAGAATCTATCCCCACATCTTAGATACCTGGCACTGTAAGACCACGCGGGCATCTCGTTCGTTACTCCCTCGAACCTGCAAGATGTGGAATGATCTTCCTCCTGATGTATTTCCTTTGCGCTATGACATTTGGTTCTTCGAAAATCGTGTTTACAGGGCTCTCGAAGGCTGGCAAATGTCCATGGACGACGATGACCACCTACCTTCAAGTGGCTCATCTGCTCGTTTATCTCTTTCTTTTCTGCTGCTTTCGGCAGGTCGAAACGGCGACACCGTTTACACCGAGTCTGCGGCCACGGACTCGTTGAAACCGGTTCGGCCAACTGTCGCTTGTCGAAGACGACCATGTCGCCCATAGCGTTTACATCTAGTCACTACGGTCGTCAAACGACTCAGTATTTATACCGGGTAGCTTGCCGTCTTCAGTGGGCAAGCGACAGTCACCTGAGGACTTGTCATTAATCTGCTGGCTAAGCGAACCAAAACATGATTACACCACTTTTTTCGGTTCTGCGCTATCTCTCGCTAATTCAGCTTGAAGTTCGCGCAAGTCCGCATCCATGGCATATTCCTATGATACCTGGGACGACCAACAGGTAACTGGTAATTCAGGGGTGATGTTCCAACTAATCGTTTGTTGACAACAATCCTCATCTTAAGACGCGTGGTTCGATTAACCTACTGATGTAGATTGTAATATAAGTACTAGGATCAGGTTAAGTTTAATTTCCATTCATATTCTTTGCTAGTGGGCAATTCATACATATATACAAACCATCAATGCGTATTTGGAGAAGGCAGAGATCATGAACCTCTACTCGCAATGTTTCTGAAAACTTTTTTCACCACCTCCAATCACATCACTTTCTTCATACATGTTACTCTATTCTTAGTATTCCTAACTTTTACTAAGGACATCCCTAATTTGATCACGATATGTATATCGAGGAAACCTCAACGTACGTTTCCAATTTGCATTTCCATCAATCCACAAACATCTTCTTTCTATATGCCTAAACCACATTAGCATACTCTTTTCAATCTGTTCTCTTCCGTTTCTAGTGGCAAATTTTAAAATTAGCATATGCAAATAGCAAATAAACGATGTGAAACGCGTTCAAGGACGTCGCTTCGAAATTTCGACATTATGACCATTAAAGCTCAAATTCGAATGTGTCATAAAGTAATTGTAGAATGATATTTACCAATTCAAATCACCCATAGGGGAACTTAAAAATGAACCCTGCGTTCCAGTTAAAATAAAAATAAATGTCTCGATTAGATTTTCGATTTGTACAGTGTTTATGCTTCATTGGGCACGGAATTCCTATACAAAATATAAATGCGAAAGTAGGATGTTTGTTGTTCTGCTCATTCACCCGAACGAATTTAGATAAAATGTGACAGATATAAGTTTACTAAATTGGCATATATGGTATTTTTTCTTGGGCGCAAACGTAAACATAGGCTAAAGGTAGGTAAGCTTTTAAAGGACATACAGACGTATACTCGAAGTTCATTCATATAAGTTTTATGACAAGATTTCTTTGACACATCGTAAATTGAGTAAGTTTTTGACGCTACTATAGGGAGTCACTAACTTTATCAACGCGGAATTGGCTTGACGGGATCATGTTTTACAACACTAGTGGCATAAAAGTCTGTTCAGATATAGGCGTTATTTGCTACCGCTGCGGGTAGCGTAATCCGAGTGAGTACGCGGTATTTCCACTGTTCGTACCTACCACAGAACAATAATTACAGTAGAAGTGGTTACTTAGCATCAGACGCGTGCCAACTGTGTCATGTCATGTATAAAAAAAAAAAAAAAAACAACTTATAGGTCTCGAAAGACCTACTTGAGCTCAGTACGCCATTTTCGTTTTGTATGAAAGTCAAAGTCAAAGAATCATTTATTCCATAGGTAAAATAAATTTACACTTGAAAACGTGATATTTAAGCTACTACTCGTTCACTACGCTGACTTCACTGAGAAGAATGAGCAAGAAACTCTAGGGATTGCTGGATTGCTCCTTTCAAATAAACTTAAATGCTATGGAATACACTTTGAGTCAAACTTGTGTGGATTCTGGAGCCATGTCATCTTTCCATACATCTTTATCTAACACGTAACCTTCAATTTTGTAATATGACTTTTCAATCAAAATATTTTTAATGTAGTTTTTAAACTTAGGAAATTATAATCTTAATATATGCTTCGGAATCTTATTGTAAGAACGTATATAGTTCCCCATAAAAGAATCGTCTACCTTGGTTAAACGAAATCGTGGTAGCATGAGTTTGGACTTAGCTCTAAGGTTATATTATGCATATCTTTTTTCTTATGGAAATTATGTATATTTTTATGGTACGGTATAATATGGTTTTCTCATACTTTTGTGCAAATTCTAGACTGAGAAAATGATAGCTGCACCAAAAATATTTCCCGTAGTAGTATTCCAAATCATCGGTAAGTCTTATTTTAACAAATTTTCTGATCATCTATTCGTTCAGTTAATCGTTTGTCGTAGTCCAGCTACTGGCCGGAAGATGGCGGCGTGTAGAATAAAATTCAATATAAAATCAATACGTCGCAACATGCAACAAAGGTGTTGATATTTCGATATAGCGACAGTGTAAAGTTTAAATTATGTTACCAATCCAGAATTTGTTATACGTTTTTAAATTAGATACTATGACCAAATATTACCAAGATTTTATAGAGTTTATCATTTCATTTGTGTGTGTGTTGACGACATCGGTTCCAATAGTAATTGAGGCTTACGGCGCTTCCATTGTTTTTCCTCCGTGATTCATACCTACGCGGATATCGTTACCGGTATGAGTAGCGAAACTCATAATTCATTATCATTTATTATTAATGCTATTATATAATAATAATAATAATAATAATAATAATGCACACACTCAACATAGCCCCGCACTAGGTAAACCCTGTGTCGCGGGTGCTATAGACACACACATAGACAACCACAAATTACACCCAAACTCACGAGAGAAATAAATGTAGGCCATACAAATATTTCTCCCGGCCCGGGAATCGAACCTGGGATCTCTGCGTGGCAGTCCGGCATGGTAACCGTTCGGCCACGGAGGCAGTCAAATAGTATTATGTCAACTAATCGCCACTAACCGACTTGCGGGTTGTGTGCCACCTACCTACCTGGGGGTATGGTGCGGTATTCCGGTTTCGCTCTGACCGCGGAACTGTACACAAATACCCGATGTTTTTTGCTACTTTCGGCGGTAGCATATCGCTTATATCTGTATAGACCTTTATACCGTCGATGCGGCCATTTTGGCGTTGACACGGTGGTTCGGGCGTTTCCGTGTCCGTCCGGGCATCGGCGCCATCGTTGAGCATTGTCTCGGATCAGGGAGGTATGAAATGTAGCATTCGTATCTTCGTAGTTATTTAGACGTCGACACGGACGTTTGGGTGTCAACGCCGCCGATCAGATCATTCGGACGCTATAGGAAATTCACAGGAAGCAGATTTATTTCCATATGAACCTATGCGATACGTACAATGTCTTCTTTGCTTTTTTTTCAAGTACATAAAGCTTTTTCTGACCGGCTTCTGGGATTCCGTGTCGATAAATGACTTCCATATAAGAACTGGCGGACTGATACACGCGCACTAACAGACGATATGTTTATGTTCTTTTGTTTAACTGTCTATGTGATATTATTTCAACCAATTTAATAGACCGGTGTATTTAATAAAGCTCCTTTTCTTTGACGAGGTGTAAAATCAGGATACTGTTAAAAAACCCATTTACCAACAAATTATTTAATTTAAAAAGTCATCTCGCCAAAGTTACCAATTTACAGAATATTTATTTCTCCGATTCTGTTCCAGTAAACTATATAACAATGAAATGGCACCATGAGCGTGAAGACGAAGGCGGCGAGTGTTCTGTTATAACCCAACCTAATATGGCCATTTTGCAAGGGTTATTGCTGTATTTTTCCATAATGCAACTTGCGTTTTGATATTTTGCGTAATACACAGATCACATTGACACTCGTAAAGAGCGGTATCTAGAAGTCAGTCAGTTCGATCTATGTATAATTTTTATCAATAAATCGGGTGTTTAGAAAATTAGTTTTTGTTTAAAAGACAAATTCGAACGGCTGCCTAATAGTTCGAATAAAGGAACAGATACCGGCAAAAAGATTTCTTTGTTAAATAATATATGTATATTTACACCTATGTTAGCAGCTGGTGCCAAACAAAGTAGTTTTGTATACAGAAGTAGTGTCATTTACTTTTTTTTTTAAATATCTTATGTACATTTTAATTATCTGTTTTCGTGCTGTTTTTTTTTGTTCTTTTATTTATTTAATTTTATATTGAAGTTGTTGTTGCTAATTGTGTTGTCATTTGTAGTTATTAAACAAATGTCTTTTCGTTCTTTATTCTTTACGCGAAGTCAGTATCTAATTGATTATATATTACGCGAGTTTACTAATCCAATTTGCCAATAACACGATTTCCTTCTTATTACAAAGTCTCCCAGTAACATTCAAAAACGAGCAACAAAAAGGGAAAAGCACCCCATGACACCATATTGGAAATTTGGAGCATCTGTTGACTATTAATGCACTAATTGCAGAAATTTGGCTTGGCTTTGGAACAAAGGTTGTATGATAACATTGGACAGGAATGGGAGTCAAGATTTTGGGTCGATGAAGATAATTAGATACACAAATTGTTCTAAAATAGGTTACTATTAATTAGCCACTAAATACAAACAGCCGAAAGCAAAATGTATTAAAATTCAAGTTTATTTATTCGTCAACGTATTTTTTTTATAATAAAATGAGTGCGCAATTGATCTCTGACGCACTTATTTTATTTTATTACATCTTTGCAATTTAAAACTCTAACTAGGTATAGGTATTTCGTTTACCACCCAAGCGCACGAGTTGTTCGTCCCGTCTCATGTAATGAAAAAAGAAATACAAATAAATATTTTGATTAAAACAGTTAATTAATAATCAGATCTGTTATTATGATTCAAATATTCATCTATAGAATAAAATGTATGATTAACCAAGAATTTACCTACTATTTTTCTTTTAATTGTTTTATTTATGAAACGGTGTCGTGATTAATGATTTTTTTTTATTAGAAGGGAGAGATTGTAAACATTTCTAGTTCGATTAGTAATTCAAGTTCAGAATTGGAAATTGATGCCAAATGTAGTAATGTAGTAAATTAATACGAAATAAAATCCTACAGTGTGCACGTAAATTCGTTGTTGTGATTATTGTATCCTGTATTTAATTACTTAGGAAGAAATTTCTGTCATAAATAAGCTGAACCTTT